TGGCAGCAGACGGCCTGGTCGGAGCATGTCACCAGTAAGGCTAAGTAATCAGCGAAGGTATTTGGGTCTCTGGCATGGCCCTCTTAGGCTTGATGAAAGCATTCGGGCATGTGGAACATCGCTGGTTCTTCAGAAGCTGCTGTGGCTACTGGATTCCCGCTCTGGCAACTGAGATTGAATATCGAGCGGTGCCGTGCTGCACGATTCTGTTGTCTAGGCCAAGCTGCGCCGTCGCCCGTGGAAGTCGAGCAGGCGGTCCTCCCTGGCGGCGGCGGGGCAACGTGCATGTTTAAGCTCATGTTGATCTGGCCTCTCGATCCTGTGCGTCGTTTGCGCCGCGCGGTCGTTCCCGCCACCGTTGTTGGCGATCTGTTGCTGCATCGGATTGGCGCGCAGTCGAGAGTCGCGCGAGGGTTGATCCAGGTCTCGCTTGAGTTGCAGGCGGCGCTCGCTGCGGTGGGGGTGCGCGCGCATGTACATCAGCCGAGAGTGCTGTGCAATGCGCGGCGCGTGAGGGATGAGATTGCACGACGTCTGCACGCTAAGAGGGTTGCGGGAGCAACGCAGCACGAGCGGGACATTGGGATCGATTTTTCTTGGGGGCGGAGAGTTGGGCACGCTGTGCGTGAAGGACGTCTTCGGGGTTCACGAGCGCGTTTACGTCGCATGTGTCTCATCCGCACTTGGAAACAAGAGACGGCTTGCCGTTCTAAAGGTTGCTCGCTCTGGGTTAGAGGCGAGCATGACGCATGGCACGAACGACGCATGATGTTCCACATCTAACCATGAGACCATGCGCAGCGCGGCCTTTGTCTTGTCTCACGAGTGCCACAGCCGGCAAATCACGTGCGCTAGCTCTGCTGTGCGAGAAGGATGCAGACCCAATTTTCCGCGCCACGCTCTTGTTTGTCCTCGCGCTCTGCCGAGCTATATTGGAGGGGTGGATGCCGAGGCATGTGGTGCGGGTGGGATTAGAAGATGTTGCGGCCGTCGCCTTGTGGACCCAAGTGTCTGGTCCGTTCTAGTGCGTGTCGGCACTCGCTGGCACGAGTTGGGCGGTCAATTCGCTCCGCCTTTTGCTGGTTCGCCACCATCTGGTGCAAGCTGCCACGGCCTGGCGCTGGCGACAGGTGGTGAGGCGTGAAGACTTGAAGCATCTCGAATTTGGTGCCGCGTGGTTACCCTTGGTCCAGGCAGTCTCTGGTGGACGGCCTCGGTGCGGGGGAGATCGTGACCTCCCGACCCTGGGGCCCGAGGCTCGCGCGCATTTGAAGTCGTGCGTGGCGCGCAGCCGATGGCCCATGGCTAGAAAGTTTGAGGCCCGAAAGGCCACGAATGATGAGCGCTTGGTGTGTAGGCGACCTGGCACGTTGTTGCACGGGCATTCTCGAGTGCGAGTTGTGCCGCGAGCTGCCGTGCCCTAGTGCGTTTAGCCCGCTGGTCCAGGCTCAGGACAGGCCCCGGGTCCGCGCGCCGCTGGAAACGGGCGCCTTGGCCCATCCCTCGGACTTCGTGGAGGGCCCCTGCCCAGGACGCAGTGGTTTGGCATTGACACGCGCGCCCTGGGGCCCTGATTGCCAAGGGAGATTTTCTGTGCGGGTCGGCGCTTGATAGCCAGTGGAGTTCTCTATGTTGCACAGGCTGGGCTGTTGTCACCTTAGGTGAGAAAGAGCCGCTCGGGAACGAGGATGTCGTTTATTGCACCTGCTCGCATGCTGTGCATGATGTCGACGGGGCCGAATCAGAGGCACTGGTTTTACTGGTTCAGATGCTGTGCCGCCGCTTGTGGCCGTCACCGATTCCGACGTTGTGCGCCGTGGGTTGGCCGAGAGAGGAGAAGAGGCCACCACGGCCCACTCCTAGGCCTGGGTTTGTCGGTGGCGCGCCTTTTGGAGGGCCCTGGAGGATTCCGGAGGGCTCGGCGTCAATGGACTTTCGTTGCGCAAGGTCAAGCGTCACTGCGCGATGTCAGACGTTGCTGTAGGGCGGATTTCACGTCGAGATAAATGCGGCAATTTCCAGGCCGACGTTTGGGCCGCGTTTGGAGGCCAGCTCGCGCGTGCGCCCGCTGGAAATCGGAGGCGCATGCAGCAGGCTGAGCAGTTTGTTGAGCAGGTTGGGCACAGGATCGGGGAGGTTGGCGCGCCCGTGGATGCGCGCGACACGTCACGCGTTGCGCGCCGCATGCGTGTGTACATGCCTTCTCCCCTTGTGGGCGTGCCCATTCAGTTGGTGCATGTTTGTAAGGGGCCTGCCGACAGGCCCTGGTGCGCGTGTTGCCGTGCCGTGGCCCCCGCGACGCAGATCTGCCCAGGGTCGGTCGCGTCGCGTTCGCGCGATGCCAATGAGCGGTTGCAGCAGCAGGGCCTGGAAACACATCGTTTCGTTCTTCTTTTGTCAAGGAATCCCTGCAGGCGGTGGCCCACCCTGGGGTCTCGCGCGTGTGCTGTGGTGCTCACAGTGCTACGCAGCTCACGGGATTCCTCGCCCCTTTTTAAGTGCCTGGCGAGTGGGGCAGGAGGGCCGCCCGCGGGATGAGCCAAGGCTACCTGCCAGGAGTGGCTGGGGAAGTCCGGCCGTGATCGGCCCTCTGGGGTAGGGGCTCCCCGCGCGGGCAGTTATGCCTTCAGCAGGGGGTGCCACGGCATCGGGAAGAATAGGAAGAAGAAAAAGTGGAGGAGGAGGTATGATGGCCGCTGGTGTCCCCAAGACCCGCCGTAAATGTAGATATTTCCCGCGTCGTCGGCCCTGGCTTCGCGCCGCGCGCAGCCCCGTGCGTCGGCGGGCTTCGAGCGCCCCGAAATTCCGTTGCCGTCGTCGCCAGGGTCGCGCGAGCCGCCGAGCGGCCAGCGGCGTCGCCCCAAGGCAAGGCCGAGATAGGAGGCGGAACATCTGCGCGAGAAGGAGCATTCGGGGCGCAGGGGTCGGGGCGCTGGCGGGGCCCGCGTCGGCGGCGTGGACGAAACGAGATACAAAGCAGGCGCTGGAACGGGAACGGGGGCGTGGCGCGCTACGCATCGGGCGGAGACGCGCCAAACACGCGGCGGCACCGCGCCCAGTTCAACGCAGCGTCTGCCGATGCAATGCAACGGCGCGGGTGCAAAATGCAATGCGATGTAGGGGGCGCGGCCCGCCCCGCCCGCCAGGCCCGCGGGGGTGGGCGGGGGCGGGGGCAGGGGCGGGGAGGAGGAGGAATGGGGGGGGCATGGCGGGCGGGGGGCGAGCGCGCGCAGCGGGGCACCGAGCGAGAAAAGGTTATGAGAAGCCTGCGGTGGCTCAAGGTCGTAAGGGCACCCCCGACCGCGTCACATTTGAATCAGGCGCCCCGCGAGGGGGTCGCGGGGCGAGCTTGAAGCTTGCGCCGCCAAGGCTCGCCGGGGGGGCGCGCGCGGGCGCGGGCTGGGGGGGGGTCCCAGACGACCCCAGCGGGGCTGCACTGGCGTGAACGACGCGAATTCTTTCCCAAGCTTTCCAGCTCGCTGGAGGCGCGGCGCAAACCGCATCGCGCGACATCAGGCAAGTTTCAGCAAACGCGCAGATCGCGCGTTGCGTTTTTAGCGTTGGCCCCGCGGTTGCTGGCGCGGTATTGCCTGAACGGGCCGCAGATCGATGCGCGGAAGGAAACATTTGGGGCTTCGCAGTTTGGAAGGGGAACGGAGACAAACCCTGCGACAAAGTGATGACAAAGTGGTGACAAAGTGATGACAACTAGGGTTGTCGCGCCTCTTTGTTGCGGACAAACTGATGACAAAGTGGTGACAAAGTGATGACACATGGGGACAAATGGCGCCGCGCGTCGGGCCGTCGGAGAAAAAAACGCGGACAAAAAACGGATGGCGCGCAAAACTGCGCGCGGCGTTGATTTCACGCGCGCGAGCGAGTTTTTGCGCTCGCGCGAACGCGCGCGCTCGCCCGCGCGCGAGCCGCACTCGCTGCCGCGGAAGACGCGTCGCGACGGGGGTTCTCGCGACCTCGGAATGGCTGCGGCGATGCCCCCGCCGTTTCGGCGAGTGCATTTTCCCCCGTTGATGAGCTTCACTCACGCCGCGCCGTCGGGTCCACGAGTTCCCTTGGCGCTCAGGGCGCAGGTCGCCCAGGCCCAGGCCTCCCCCGTTTGCGCCCGCTTCCTTCGCCAATTTACTCCGGCCCGCTGCGTTTCGTTTCATGCCGCTGCCTATCGAGCGGGCTTGGGCTGAGTTTTCTCCGGTTGTCACTTGTGGCAGCGCTTGCATGGTTTATTCCCTCATCGGCCCTCAATGCTCGGACCGCTTCCGCCTGGAAGGTCGCGACCGACTTGCCCGGCGCGGCGCGCGCGAAACGCTTTGTTCGCGGCGTCGAGGCCGCATTCGCGCGAACAACAAACATCGCGCCCCGACGTCGGGGGATCAACTCGACATCGCGCGTGGCGTTCTGATTTGCCGCGCGGGGCCCGCCCGCGCCGCCGCGCGGCCGCGCGGCCGCGCGTCGCCGCGCGACAGCTGCGCAGATGCAGGCGACGGGCGTTTGTTTTGGCGCCGGCATCGGCTGCCCTTGCTCTGCTAGCTAAGCCGCGCGCGAGAAGCACCGCAACGTCAGGCGCTTTTTTTGATTACTTGAGGGGTGCTACTGCTTGCTTTCGACGCGGCGTTTGGTTGTCAAGGTGGCGCAAAATATGTTCGCCGAGCAGGCGTTGCAAAGTCGCTTGTCCGCGGCGCTATCTCGCGACGCCTGCGACCCCGAAAACGATTCTTGGGCCGTGCAGCGGCTTTCATATGAGGAGGAGGAGGAGGGGAAAAAGGAGGAGGAAAAGCAGGAGAGGGAGGAAGAGGACGAGGAGGAGGAGGAGGAGGAGGAGGAAAAGGAGGAGAAGGCATCGGATATGTTTCCGGCGCGCCCGCCATGGCGAAAACTATGCTGGGCGTCGGGCATCGCGCTCGTTGCCACGACGAGGTTTTTTGCCTCTCGCTCGTCAACCGCAAGAGGCGGGGGAGGGGAGGGGAGGGAGGGAGGGAGGGAAAACATTAAAGCAGCTTTCGACAGCGGTCCAGCGGTAGTCCGTCGACCACGGGCTCAAGGGCCGGCTTGGCCCGATCCTGACAGAGGAATCGGCACAGCGCTGTGTAGAGTGAGTGCCTCCGTCTTTTTGGTGGGCTCCCCTCGCTCAGGCAGCGCCCGCCTTGCTGAGCTGTTCCCCCAGCGTTTGAGGAACAGTGTAACAGGCAGGGGCACACATGCTTTGTTTCCCATACTTGCACGTCCACCTGGCCCCCTTCCGAGTTTCTCACTGAGCGTCGGGGAGGCGTCACCCCCGCGGGCGGCCCCTCATCGACCCCCGCCGCGGGCAGCCACCGCGCGCCGAAGGCGCTCCGACCCCCCGTCGCGGCGCGACGACGAGGCGAGGTTGACCCCCGTCGGGGGGGCACCCCCCCGGCTCTGACTTAAAAACCCAGAGTACTCCGGATTCCATAACAAAATGGGGGGGATCACATTCGGGGGGGGGGGTCTAATTTGAGCTGTTTTGGGAGGGTTCGGGGGGGGTCTGGGCAAAGGGCCGCCCTTTGATGGATAGTCTGGGGGGTCTAAAACTTCTCGTCTGGGAGGGTTGTGACCCCCTCCCTTTTATTACGAATTTTGGAGTAGCTGACCGTGGATGGCCAGCCCCCCCCCGCGGGCCCCTCGGTCACCGGGCGCCTGCTGGCGGTCGGCCCCGCGCGGCCCCGGCTCCCGGAGGGCGGGTGCGACCCCTGGCGGCGGTCCGTGAGGCCCGCCCCTGTTTCTCTGCCCTCTCGTCCTCCTCCCTCCTCCTGCCTCCTCCCCTCCTCCCTCCTCCCTCCTCCCTCTCCGCCTCCTCCCTCCTCCCTCCTCCCTCTCCTCCTCCTCCCTCCTCCCTCCTCCCTCTCCTCGTCCTCCTCCCTCTTCCCCCCCTCTTCCCTGCCCTCTCCTCGTCCTCCTCCCTCCTCTCCCCTCCCTCGAGCCCCGTCGGAGGCCAGTTGTCTGCGCCCCGCGCCGCTTCTTGCCCCCCCCTGTCTTCCCCTCGTGAATGTTGCCGAACTGCGCTGCCTCCGCCACCGGCGCTGTATGGCTCGCGTCGGCGACATCGCTGACCAGATCACGGGGAGTGGGGCGCTGACTACCTACCAGACCACCCCAACCCGACCCGAAGACAAGAATTTCGGGGTGGGGGGGGGGTTAGGGATGTGTTTCTTCAATGTTCCACGAAGCTCGGGCCGGACGACAGGGGGGGATTGGGAAAGGGGGGGG